ATCTCCCCTGGGGGTTGATGGAATGACTTCCTACTTTTTTTTTTTTTTTCACCCCAGGGGGGCAATTCTCATCCTTTGCACAAAAAAAAAAAAAAAAAAAAATGCTAGTTATGTTCTATTGACTTTTCAGCTTGAAGGAAGTCTCCAATATAAATGAATATTTCAGTATATATGTAGAAATCTATATGTGTGCACATCTACATATTTAAATATTATACAGCAGCTCAGTTTTTTCTCAGCATTTCACACGAATCAAACTTTTGGGTTTTATTTTTGCATTTTGCATGTTACAGTATTTTATCTATCCATTTTTATATTTCTTTACTGGGTAGAAAATGCAGTATTTTTATTCTGTTGGATTTTTCTTGCTGAAACTGACACTGATGAAACATGGGGGCATGAAGGCTCACTGCTAAGTCTGGCCCTCCCTGTGTGTTCCCGCCTGGCTGGGCTCATGGTTATTTAGCAAGGTGTCCTTGGTTACCAAGCATGTCGGCAGGTTACCAGGAACCCAGGAATATGCATAAGGAAATTAGACAAGTGTGATAAATATTTGATGTCCCTTATGCTCCTCCAGAAGTTACTTTGCAATTTCAAGTACCAGAAAATATACCTCATAAACAGAGTGAAATAAAGTCTTAATAATAATTTTTTTCTTCTTTTTGCCAACTTTTCTTCTCCATGGGAAAAAACAAACTTTTGCCTTTCTGAAATCTGTTATCCAATGCAAATGATTCCCAATCTTTGACTCTCCTTTTTTTTATTATATTTTCTTTGGTCTCTATATTTGATGTCCACTGTTATTTTTATATTAAGTGGGAAGGATGAAATCCAAATTAATTCCATTTGGTATTTTAAAAAAAGTTTACTCTGCCAGCAATGTTTACTTTCAATGTAAAAGACATTTAGAAATTATGTATGTTGGGGTCAGCAGGTGGCGTGGTGGTTAAGGGTGCGGAACTCCCAAGTGGCCGACGACCGACTGTTCCAGTGCAGGACCTGGCGGCTTGCTTTCTTACTTTCTCTCTCTTGCTCTGTCCCTCTCTGGTCAAATTGAAATTAAATAAATAAATAAATAAATAAATCCCAAAAAAGAGGAATAAAAGGAATTGTATAGGTGTCATTCATACCATCATACCATCAATGGCCAATTAGCTTTTTTTTGGTTTGTTTAGAATGTGCTATGTTACCAAGAGAGAAAAAAATACAAGCATGTGTGGAGAAAGATAATGACCATTGTATACCACCTGACCAGCACACATCTTTATCAATACACTGTTTTCAAGATTAATCTGAGGATAAATGCAAAACCGACCAACAAACAAAAAGCCAGAGAGGTTAAGTCTGGATGATGTAATAGAGGCTTCAGTTAAAGGGTTTATGATTTTGAAACACTGCCCTTTCAAGCGTCCCTGACATCTGCACCAAGAGGGCTTCACTGATCATGCAGGCTAACAGCTCATCAAGATTATACACTACAGAAAAGTCAAAAATTAAAAAGGTGAGCAAGGTATAAATAAGTGAAGGCTGGCTGCAGCAAAATAAATGTAAGCCCCTTGATTTTTTTTTTTTTTTTTTTAGGAGGTACCTTATTCAATGTGAGTATAAGAAGTCACTCAGTGTAGATACAAGCTAGGGCTATAGATATAGCCCAGAGGTGCCATATGAGAATTGATTGGGAATAATAATAATAATCAGGCCACAGATAGTCTAGTGCCCAGAAGTTCAAAAGGTCAGGAGTATAGTATTGCGTTTTATAGCAATCATATTGATACACAGTATCTTTATTTTTACAAAGAAAACGAAGTACTAAGACCAAAATTTAAGATTCTGATGTAAGCAGGGGTACTCTTGCGGGTGAATATATGATGGAGGATAAGAAAATCTCTCATAAAAAAGATTTCTGAAAGCAGTAGTTGCAACTTAGATGTCACAATACAAACTATATTTATTAAACTCCTATATTATTGGGTATTTGAAGGAGTAAATTATAAGATCCCCTGTGTTTACCTCAGTCTTTAAGAACTTAAGTGATGATCACATACTTTGGGATATTAATACTGAGCCAACATATAGGATCAAATGGTGTCTCAAGAATCAGCTGTATTATCCAGATGAAAGATTCAGGCAGGCAAGAGGCACGGAGAAGGGAGGGCATGGTAAATCCTGTTGGTTCCCAATGTCCTTTCTTTCCACACTGACCATGCACATTCCCTTTCCAAGAAAGGTTTTATAGGCTTACCTGTTTTGATAGTAAGTACTTATGTGATAAAATATCTCGGTTCTTCAAAAGAATTATTTATTTAATTTTATTGATTTTTTTTTTAAATTTGCTGCTGGGCACATACACTCACCAGAGAGACAGAGAGAGTGAGTGAGAGAGAGAGAGAGAGACAGTGAAAAGCAAGCCGCCAGGTCTAGGACTCAGTCCACAGTTGGCCATGTGGGAGTCCAGTGCCTTAACCATCACTCCACTGCTGGCCTCAATATCTCGACTTTTTTAACCTAGAAAGGGTAAAGTTTCAGGACATTTTCCAGGGAACCACAAACCATTAATTGATAAATCCTGGGTTTATGTACTACAGTATTTCTTTAGCCTAGGATGTCCTACTAAGGGTTTTGTGTGGTTAAGGACTCTTCTGTCTAGTCAATGTTCCTGGTTAATTTTTCTGTCTAGTCACTGTTCCAGATGACAAGGTCATTAGATCAGATTGTTAGACCCCCACTAAGTGCCCTTCTCCCTACCTTCCTCCCTACATACACACACACACACACACACCACCACCACCACCACCACCACCACCACCACCAATAAAGCAATGAACAGATATCCTACATCAGCTGCTTTAACTCTTATTTCCCTAAGTATTAGTCAATTAAATGTAACAGAGTTGAAATTTGCAAACACATTTTTCAAAGCCATCCAGATCTTTAAGCATGTTATGAAGTTTTGCGAGCCCAAAAAACTTTCATTGAAAAATACCAGGACCATGCCTAGAAAGGCTCCCAAATTAAGAAATGAAATAAGGTGGAGATAACGACAATCCTAGTGATAGTAATTAAGCTCTGACCACATATTAGGCGCTCTTCTATATTTTTTACATGTATTATAAAAACCATAATAATCTTCAAGGGTAGGTTCTATTATGTGTTTCCATCTAACAGATGTAGAAATTGAGGCATAGAGAGTTGAGTTACCCAGGCTTACACAGATAGTAGATTCTCATGTCACTGGTGAAACTAAGAAGTGTGATTGATGTTCTTGACTCGTAAATCATATACAAAAATATACAGTCATATCAAACTCAACAGCAACAACAAAATGGAAGGCCAGAAAGTGTGTGCACATGTACACACACACACACACACACACACACACACACACACACAAGAAAGGGAGAGAAAAAGAGAGAGAAAACACTGCCCAATGGGACCTAGTCATGCCAGCAACATTTTTTCTCCAATTTCCATTCTGTCAGGATCCTGGGCACGTACATACCCTGTGTGTTGTCACCAGGGCCAGAAATGCAGCCTCAGTTCATCATGTAGGATTCAGTTTCTCTATACAGTGCTCACCTTTAACATTCCAGGGATGGCCCAAATTCAACAAATTTTTTATTAACCAAACTGAATAATAAAAGAGAAACTGGCTGCCTAGGAAATAGTGTGGGAAATAAATTTTGCTGATTATTACTGTTGGAAAAATAAAAAAGATTAAATATTGAAATTCGTGAATACAACAGAGAAATATTAATCAGTAATGGTTTATTGAAGTTCTATAATAAACCTAGTGTCAAATGATGAGATAGAAGGCACAGATGAACTAGGCGCTAGAGCAGACAGCAGAATACCAGCCAAAAAGACTAGAAATGGAGCTACAGGTTATGGCAAGTGAGATATATTTAAGTATCAACAACACAGAGGTGATAATTGAAGCAATTTACAAGCTGAGATAATTTGTTGTCCAAATAAATGTCATTATCAGGCCAAAACTCTTAGACATACTTTAGCATTGAAGTGACTCAGAATGCGTTTTTCATTTGTAAAATCTTAAATAATATGAAGGCTGATAAACTAAACTGAGAAAAGAATGGTAAACAAGAAGGAGAGAAATATGACCTACATTGCCATCTGTTGGGGAAATGAACATCTGTCATGTTGAATGAAAGATGAAGCTCGGAATTCCCAATGAATCTCAACAGCTAGAACTACCAGTTAAGAACAAAAACAGATTTCAAGCCTCATTTAGCTTTTTCTTTATTTTTTTTTCCACCAATTTGGAATATATATTTAAAGGAGAAGAAAAAAATAAACCTCCAATAATTTAGAAACCATGGATTTTAAGATTCCCAGATATAATTTTAGATGCAATTTGAATAGAACTATGCTGGAGCAAAGAATATTGTCAAAACTTATCTCCAGAGTAGATTGTATGCCCTCTAGAAACATCTTGTTTTCTGACTAATACAATAGATACATGGCTATGGTGGCAAAAATGCCAAGTCTGGAATTTAGTCTCACCTCCTAATGTGGTATCATTTTGATAAGTCATTCCACTCCTTGGCTCTAAATTTCCCTGTATGTCTGACAAAGAGATGAGATTAGATAAAGTGATTTCCGAAGTTACTTCTAGCTATACTCTTCTTTAAGCTGTGCACTTATTTAAAAATAGTCAGAGGTAGCATGGTGGTGAAAGTGTTGGACTCCCACATGGTCAACCGCATTTCAAGTCCCAGACCTGGTGACTTGCTGTCACACTTTCCCTCTTTCTCTCTCTCTCTGTCTCTCTCTGGTGAGTGCACATGCTCTATAGCAAATTTTTAAAAATAAACAAAATTAAATAATTTTGGGGGTAAATAATCTGTGAGTAATTGCATGCTTAAAAAATCATTTTGTGGATGGAAGTAGACTTCCTAGAAGTTCCTATTATATATTATTATATATATATATATTTTTAACTTCTTTTGAAAATTTACATCAGTATCTCTTCTCTCATTTAGGGTGGAGTTAGTGGATTGACTGGCGAGCTAGAATTTGGAGAGAATGGAGGCAACCCCAATGTCCACTTTGAAATTCTTGGAACCAACTATGGAGAAGAGCTTGGCAGAGGCGTCCGCAAAGTAAGGCCAAACACGTTGATCAACGTGCTTTTTTCTGTTCTATCGTTTTGCTTGATTGTTTTCCAATATTGTTGAAGTATAAACCAAGGCTCATATGGTAGTCTGAAAGAGAAGAGAGAGGGAAAAAGAAGAAATTAGACACTGAATGCCCTAAAAATTAAGCAGTAAATTCTAATTATGCTTTAAAAAAAAGAAAAAAATTCTGATGGTTTTCTAGGGACATGGCATCATCTTTCGCTCACTATGATAATGATGTCTACAGTGAATTTAATATTCATATAATGCATAGATTCTTGGTTTTTAATTGTAGCATACTCAGAATCAAAATAAGAGCAAGGCCAGCAGATGGTATAGTGGTTACATTGTTGGATTTTCACGTGGCCGATGGAGGTTCAAGTCCCAGACCTAGTGGCTTGGAACTCACCCCACGTTTGTGCGTGTGTGTGTGTACATGCCCAAGATCCCAGGAAGAGACTAGAGAAGGGATTGAGGGATGGCCACCCCTCTTGGGGAGTAACTTCTCACTTTCTCTCTCACTATCTCTGTCCCTCTCTTTTGTTCTGGTGAATGTATGCACCCCAAGGCAAAAACCTCTTGAAAAAAAAAAGAAAGAAAGAATCAAAATAAAAGCTTGGATTAATTTATATGGTAAAAGAAAATGTATGACAATTCACATGCAAGAAAATGATGAGTGCCAGTAAGGATATTTCATGAAATACTGGGATAATAACTTTCTGTTTTTTTTTTTGGAGAGGTTTTCGCTATAGGTCGCGTGCGCTCACCAGATAGACAGAGAGAGACATAGAGACAGAAAGCGAAAAATCACCCCCCAGGGGGGATGGTCACACTGCAATCCCTTCTCCTCCATTCTCCTCTCGGGATCTTGGGCACGTACGCACATGCGCCCGGTGTGAGTTTTATGCCACCGGGTCCAATACGCGAACTGCGGTCAACTACGTGGGAGTCCAGCGACATAGCCATTACGCCACTGCTGGTTCCCTACTTTCTTATGGAGAAATTGAAAAGCTCTTTGGATAAATGACTCTTCTTTAGTTTGGCTTTGGCCTTTATTGTTGGTAGGGAAAAACCCAAGAAACTGAGCGTCATACAGAGCTGATGTATGCAAACTCCAATTTCCAACTGTACAAAGCTGGAAATTCCAATAGTATACTATTCTACACATTTCCAGTGAGATCAGGTTGACTGACTGTATTGGGAGGAGTTCTTCAGTAGGTGTTTCCTTCCATGCTGAGGTATCAGATGTAGAAAAACCAGGACAAAATTAAAGAGTTAGTTTTATCACCAATAAAACTTCCTCGATAAATTTATGCTAAGAGAGTTGATGCTGTCTTAATACCTTTTTAATTTTTGTTTTTCAGTGAAGAATTGGAAATATAGAAAGCTATAAAATACAAGAATAGTTTAATGAATTATTTTAAAGGGAGCAACTACTTCTGTACTCAAGAAAGATAACAATCCAAACACTCCAAGAATCCTAAATATTCTTATATGTTTCTCCCATAACATGCCAGACCACCCTTCTAAGTGCTGTAACCATTATTCTGAATTTTATGACATTCATTTCTTTACAGTTTAAATATAATTTCATCACCTGTTTGGATCCTTATATAATTAAGTTTTTCAGATATTTCAACTTTTGAATGGGCTCTATATTATTTATTTTTCCTTTTTCTTCTTATGTTCAATATTATATTTCTTATTTATCCCAGTTACATGTAGTTGAAGATTAATCATTTATACTGCTCTATTGTTTTCTATGGTATGAATATGTCACATCTACTGTAGTTTTCTTTTCTTCCATTTTTAGACCTTGAGAAGCAATGTTGTTACAAATATTCCCAGAATATCTCAGATACATACTCTTGCACTTGCACATGTATTTATGTAGGTTTTGTATCCAGGGGCAGAATTGCTGCAATACCAAAAAGCATATCTTGAACTTTACTAGGTAACATCAAACATGTTTTCATAGAGATTTACTTATTCCCATACCTCCAGCAATATAAACAAGTTGCAGTGGTAGGGTATATATATATGCATGTGCGTGTGTGTGTGTGTGTGTGTGTGTGTGTATTTGTGTGTGTGTGTATTGCTGAATATACTATGGTATCTTTAAAAAAAAATGGTTTTAACCA